CTCCTGGTAGACAAAACATACGCACAAACATCTCCTGGTAGTATTGAATGATGCTATCAATATAGACCATTGAAAAGATTCCATACATGTATTTACATGCAGTTGAATAATGTAAGAGTTTGTTTATAAAAGGTCCCATATATTATATACATGTACCAGATTTATTGCCGTCTAACCAAATACCAAGGGCAATTCCATGTACGTGCATCAGTGAAATTCTGTCCAGACCCTCTCCCTCCCTTGGAATTTGCAAAGTTGAAAAATGTATATACAAAGCCAATTAAAAGTGACCTTAGACCCCTACCTAAAAATGCAGATCCCTCATTGAAAATGTGATTTATGTGAAATTGGTAGTAAAAGTCAAAGATATGAAGCTTTAAAAGTCAAAGACACCCCCCTCCCCCCAACACACACACACACGTTTTTTTTACCTTGTCAAGAAAGAACTTCGAACTCTAACTCTTGATTCCCGCCTACATTTTGCACCCATTAAATTCAATATTAACCATTATGGCAATTTGGCCATTAAATTAAATTTTGTTTAATACAAAGAACAGTTCTAATAATGGTAATTGTGGTAATTGATTAATCATCTTAATTCCACTGCTAGATAGTAAATTATCATTAATTCCAGCTCTTGAAAAAAGGGGGGTGGACGATATTTTCTAGTGAAATCGAACTTTCAAGAATCAGCATATTTTGAAATAGTCTTCAATATGATAAAATGTATCTCATATCTTTTCTTATGTTTTACGCAAATAAATAAAACATATATAAATTAATAAAATACAATTTTTTAGCTGTAAATAGCTTTAGAATTGGTGAAAATTCAGCATTTTTTTCGTTTTTTGTCTATAAACATATGTTCCCTCCCGTGAAACACAAAAATCTTTGGCATAAATTTGTAAAATGACAGTCCATATTACCTGTAAAAAGGAATTTTTGTTTGGGGGGGGGGGCTGTTTTAAAATATATTTTCCGTTTTCCGTTGATTTCTATAGTGAAAAACACAAGTTGTACCCATATTAAAGAGTTATCTCTCTTTGGTATCCCAAATAAGTTACGTTTTATGAAAATTCATATAAATATCTATAAAAATTGTGAAAATCATTCGAATATGTTAATTTTTGAAAATTGACTTAGAGGTAGGCGGGAGAAGAATACTATCGTTCGTAGTTCTTTCCAGGTTGGAAAATTATTTTTTTCGATCAGGATTCCCCACCCAAAATTTTCCTGGATAGGTGCCTGCAAAAATTATAAATAATATGATGTAATCCATCTTAAGATTTGTACATGACTCTTCTTACCCGGATTTATGCGCGGATCTAGAGGGGGGTCTGCCCCCCCCCCCCGACCCCCTGGAATTTGCAAGATTATTAAATGTATATACTGGAAGTATCAAAATATTCATATTTTTTTCCGTTCTTGACAGGTTTTTGGGTAATATATGTTACTGGAAGTATAAAACTTAATTTTTCGTCCTTCGACGTCACTTCCGATCCAGTCAGAAGTAGCCACAATTGGCTTACATCTGGAGTAATCCGCCTATATTTGTGCAAGCAAGTTCTCGAAAACAGTTCGATGAATTTTCATGAAGCTTTCAGGTCTGATAGAACATCACAAAATCTAGAAAAACTTTTTTTTATTTTGATGATGCCATTTCCGGTTCGGAGATTTCTGCAATTTTGTCATTTTTAGAGGGACATTTTATCCGGCAATGTTCTCAAAAACTGTTCAAGATAGAAGTATAAAATTTTCAGTGATAAAAGAACAATCTTTCTAAAATTGACTTGAGTATATAATTGAGCCCGAATATAGTCCCAATGTGAATTTCAAAATTTCTAACACCATTTCTACGATATCTTTAATTTAGAAATATTTCGTTTTAACATAAAGTGCAAAAATTCTGAAGAATCCTGGGATCTTTCAAATGATAAAAAAAATGATCATAAAAAGGGCTGACCCCTAAAATAAGGGATCTAGAGGGGCTAAATCTTTTTCTTGATATCGCAAAACAAGATTGAAAATTTTTAATACATTAAAGAAGCAAAGTTGTTCAAAATGTCAAGTTAAATCTATTGAAATCGTCAAAATATGTCCAGTGACGTCACTTCCTGCCAAACCGGAAGTAGAAAAAAATGCATATTTTTGCCGTTTTTGAAACATTTTTGGGTAATAGATGTCACTGGAAGCTTAAAACTTGATTTTCTGTCCATCGGCAACACTTCCGGTCCAACAGAAAGGGAAGTGTTATTATAAGAAGGATTACCACTTGCAGAATTAAATCCACGTGCATCTAAAATACATTTTTTATGAATACAAACGAAGACAATTTTGTTACCTGCTTTGTCGGACCAGTACGTACTGATCATGTAATAATGAAGTAATGATCCTAACCCTGAAGTAATAATGTATAATATCTTTGTAAAAGCTCAAAGCTAAATTTATTATCTGGAAGCCATTTCAAAGCTTGGAATAAAAAAATATCACTAAAGACTATTTCTGAAAAATACTCCACCTCTGTATGTGGCGCCTAATCTATTTGTTAAAACAATTTCTTAATCACGTATATTTCATTTGCTAACAAATCTTAGAGAATCAAAAGAGTTCGTCGATGACTTCATGTCCATGCCGTTACTAAAGGTTTTGACTAAATTTCTCATTGATAATCCATATGCTATGTGCTTTGTCGCTGGAATGTGACAAATCTTGGCCTGTTCTTGGCACTTACAGCCTTGCAGTGAGGGATCTTGCAACAGCTACCGCGACACGGAACCTCACTCTATACGAATTCATCGGGTCTCCACATTCCACAGTGGGATAAAAATCTGCGACTTAAGTCTATATTTAACTGACACCGCTACGTAGATCAAACGCGTCAACCAATGCGCCATGAATATTAAATCTCCACATTCAACATAGCTATAATTTTCTATTTACTTACATTCCATCAAATGTTTTCATATGAGGGTCACTGTGAGCAAAGCAACTTTTTTCTTTCCAGTCGTTTGGCGCCTCTTGCACAGTCACCTGTATATAAAAAGTATTCCGTTGTAAAATAGTTTTTATTTAGAATTCGTTTTCACGTATGATGGCACTTCTTTAAAGTTTCTTACCTTGATCGGAGATAATGTAATATTATGCCACATTTTTTCACCAGCCAGCGGCACTGTTCTTAAGTATATTTTATAATCATGATGTAGCTCATAGAGACCATTGTCACCATGACGTATAATTAATGCATTTGGCTTATTCCAGTCTTTTTTGTGAATAGACACAACGCACTTTCCTCGACTGTTAATTTTAGCAGCACATGTATCTAACAATGGGATATATACTTCAAAATCGAGTTTACAGTTTTCGGGATATTTGTCTTGTGATTCTCTAAAATTACATGCCATAGGAAGCGTTAACGTTAAAGCAATCTGTTCTTGTTTTCCTCTAGTCATTATTACTGATTCCTTGCTCACCTAGTGAAAAGATCACGTTAATTGTAATTGAACAAATGTAAGAAAAGTCAGGCATATTTTTTATATTTAAATACTTAATATATTGTTTAACTTGAAAAAAAAAATAACATTGTAGTAGGTATAAATATAGGAAGGTAGCAAAATTGGAAACAAATGGTCATGACGTACTTTTACTCCTGCAAAAAAGTCATCACTTCTTTGAGACATCGGTCCAGCCTTTTGCTCTGTTCCATATGTTATCGAGACAGCGCATGAAATCTTTAATAATTATTAATAGAAACTTTAAAATATTTATCACAAGGTACATTGAGTATATAATACATTTTATTTTATTCAAATAATTTATATAAATAACAAATGTGGATAAATACAGTGTTGTATTTAGATAGAGTGTAATATTCCATGTTTTCGTACATTTACATTAAACTTTGGTAAATCCGATTGTAGTGTCCATCTACTTTGAGAAAGGCTTTCTTTTTGCATAGGTCTCATCACACGTTCAATTTGTCCATTTGCAAACCAAAATATTTGATAGAAAAAACTGTCATCATTTAAAATTTGAAAAGAACAATCAAAATAAAAAACTTCATGTGTAACCCGAGATATTTCTTTTATAAATCCATATTTGACAATTGGCTTTTCAGTTATATTTGAAGGCACATGACCTGAAAATAGAAGTGGTAATATATTTAGTTTCGTAAAGAAATATTCTATGATATTTTTTTTTCAGGAGTGTGTAATTGGTGATTAATTACCAAAATCCAACTGCTTGTTACGAATTCGAACAGCTTACCTAATTTTCCGTATCCTACAAAGAAAGTATATACTCCTCTTAATCTGGCAAGATTTAAAGAAAATCTGTCTTTTCACAATGGATGAATGAATTGAGAATCTATCACTTAGCTAGTTGAAAGAGTGCATACATACTTACCAAAACAATATGCTTCATTGCATCGAGATGGTGGAGGCAAAAAATACATCCTGTAATCGCCGCAATTTTCAACCATTATGTTGTAGACTAATTCACAATCTTTCGAAACTCCTGGAGCACATGCAGTTCTGTTAACAATCCCATCATTTTTTTCCGGAATGTTACCTTAGTTAAGGTTCATAAAATATTGAAACGAAACATTTTTGCTATATTTGAACTTTTGAACATATTTGATTGAAAATCTTATAAAATATTTCTATTTTGCCTTTTCTAATCAAATAAAAGAAACCAATGTTTTAGTTGAGTTTTTAAAACACCACCAAACCTTCACAAAAAAACGTGTGTTTTATTGTTTTGTTTCACAGATATTTTTCTCAGCAAGTCATATACACTAGACAAAATTGCTAACGCACCACTTATCATTCTTTTTTGTGAATTGAACATTTGCCTTATTTGTATTCGTATATATAACACGTCATCTTTTCTAATACAAAGTGATTGGCAAATTCCCAAAATGACCTTCTTGTCCAAAAGCAAATTTCAAGACATGCATTGGGTACCGTTTTCGGCCAGATATATGGAGTTGTTTATTACCGATGATGGTCTTTGAGCTTACACCAAAAGCAGTCTCCCAGTTAAAAATCAAATATGCACCGATTGGCTATCATATCTCCTACCAGTGTCTTGGAGTCCATACCCAGTCCACCCAACTTTTTGTTGTCCCAATTATATGGAACGCCATTGACATTGTGGAATGGTTTTTACTTAAGGGTTAGATTATCTATAGTGAATATTTTATATTTACTTATTCATTTGCAACAGATTTCACTAGAAGAATAAATTTTTTTCATTGTTTTTATTTTCTTCAAATATTTCAAAAGGAACCCAATGCATACACTATACTGTCTTCTTTAGCACGCTCTTCTAGAATCAAATGCAGAATATGGTGTATTTTTTACTGATTTTTGAATAAGTACAACATAAAGAACAAGAAAGCATAGAGAAAATAAAATAGAAATTTATCCCTCCAAAAATGTTTGTACACAATTTTCATTTTTTTCCCTATAAAATGGTATCGCTTCAGTTACCATTATAGTTATTTATCAATTAAGGCGTTTAAATGTTTTATTTTTTTCTTAACGAGGCCGAGTCTAATTCGAGTGCACATCACTTTGCACAGAGTTTAATTTCATGCTGTCATTTGTGTGACATTACACCTTTGAGTTTTTTTTTATTTTAATACAAAATTAACATTATCTGTAACTCCTACTGATCTACAAATGTGATTTTACGACATTACTTGAAAAAAAGAACGTTCAAATGGCACTAACAACGTCACTATTTTCGGATTTTGTAAGCAATGAAGAATGACACGTGACTCGCTTGTATGTTCAAGACGTCCAAGGATATAATACTAAAAACTGATGACAAAACTTCCCAGGAAACATACCAGCAATCTAAAAATTGCTATTTTACCGAAGAAATTTTATGCGCCGATAATTCATCTGCAAAGATATGTATTTATACCGTAATATGGCAAATTAGAGATTCGAAAAAATAAAGTTAGTAAGTACTGCCTAAATCAACCTACATGGTGAACTTTTTTGAAATTTCACAATTTGGTGAGTTTTTACATTAACTTTCATCTTCTTGAATAAAAAGAAATCTCTAGGGCAGAAATGGAAAAGATATGGGAAAATGTGATATTTGGGCAATTTTCCAACAAATCCCCATAGGGTCCAATAGTAAAATTTATCAACTTTTGAGGTGGCCCGAAATGAAATCGGGGTGGTAAACATTCCATTTTTTAAATCGTAAAACAATAAACATAACAGTAAAAATTGATTATTAAAATTCCTAGGGCAGAAATAATTAGACTCGACCTCGTTAACTTATATATCAAATATATCATAGACAAGTTTTGAAAAACTTTTGAAAAAAATTGTTGGTGCGTTAGCAATTCCGTATTGTGTATTTGCAGTATACTTCTCAAATTTTGGTAGTTAATTTATGCTTCTGGAAAATACAGTCACATATATTATAAATTCACTTGCAGAAATTTCTTTTTCAACATATTTATTTATTTATTGTGATTTTCATTGATACAAAATTTACCATAATAAAAATCAATTTTTTTAAGATTATAAAGTACAGAGATCTATGTAACCAAAGTGATACAGTGCACGTATTTAGGAGCCTTTACATTTTGAAGAAATGAACAATACAAAATTAAAACCTTTCATCCATATCCCATTTTCTGTTCCACAACGATAGGGATCTGTTGCATTTGTTACAATGTCTTCTGTAATTTTATACCAAGAGCCGCTTTCGGGAATGATGTTTATATCACAAATTGGCTGCTCGTTTCGAGCTAATGGAAAATTGGCTTTCCTCAGTGGCAAAAATGGGATTTCTTTGGCCTCGAAATTGCATTTAGATGGCTTTGCCTGTATGAATTCTAGTTGAAATTTAATTATAGAATATATTTTATTAATTTAAGTTTTCAAAGTTCATCATTGTATCTTTCTTTCTAAAAAGCCAGGTTCATTTTATCTACAGAACAGTTACTGTAACCAAATGAAATTATCAACACCTATTGTCCCATTTCAAACACCAATTACAAGTAGAGATTACATGCTTTCATTTCATATAAAACTCTTCCTATGAGATTTCAGATATTAAAAGGAAATTGTCGATTTTTTTAGTTCTGAGAAAAAAAAAATAGATTTTAGTATCAGCAGAACATAAGTTCTTAACTTGAGAAAATTCCGATAGAAATTATCTTAATTCTAGAGCAGAGCTACAGTACAATTCAGCAGCTTGTACTTCGGTACTTAAGCAAAGAAGTGAAATATGAGCCCATAATCGAAACAAAAAGAACACATGAAAAAAGGATTTTTCATTATGTTATTGCCATGTACTTGATGAAGTGCAGTCTGAAATCTCATTTTATGAATCATAACTTACATTCAGTGGAATTGTTGGCTGATTGAATAGGTAGGATAATGCCTTGTAATCGGCAAAAGTCTTATTGAAAGAATATAGCGTAATGATCACCGGAAATTTCGAAGAAATGTAGCGGTTATGAGTTGATAAATGTATTATGCAGCTGCAACATTATTTCTCTTACTTACAATTAAAGAAAGAAATTTATAGTTAAAATGAAATATTAACAAAAGGTGTGAGTAAATTCGCATTGTTTAAATTATAAAATATAAGGAAATGACTGAATAAATAAAATAACATTTTGACCCCAATATTTGAGGAAATCTAATTCCGTAAACATATGACGAAGAAATCTTACACTTTTATTGCATGGAGATAAACTTCAAGAAATTGTTTCAGGAGTATCATAAGAACGCATACTAAAACGTACTATTCTATTTACTTTCTAAATCAAAGTAAAATAAACACATTGTTAAGTAGTTCCTGTATCAGCTAATAAAAAATTATATTTAGTATAATATAATATAAATGAAGTGATATAAATGTTTTATGCTATCGAGTGATTAAATCTCACCTACGACAAACAGCAGAATAAATATACAAGGTAACTTCATGTTTCGAGTCATCGTTAGCAAGTCTAGTAAACGATGACTTATTAGGATTTATATATCATTGGTGGGTCTATGCAATGGATCTTCGTGTGTCAGTCAAAAATACCGACATTGTCAATTAAAATAAAATGACGAACTTCTGTGTGAAAAAAGGTTGTCTTACGTGTTTTGACGTGTTTTGTTATACCCGAATGATGTATAAAATTAGATGAAGCTGTGTCAATAATTGTCGGTAAGCCATTTGGTAAAAATACAAAATCTATGATGGTTTATTTTTTATTTGTATGTTATATTTTCTTTTAATTTATGTATATCTCTTTTCAAAAAGTAATACGCAATGCGAATAATCAAATTGAAAAAAAAATGCATAATTAGATGAGTCTGGGAAGTGGGGGGAAGAGCTTAAAGAGTGTGTCCAATGTGCGTCAATATGTTTTGATAAATATAAAGGTCAAACTGATAACGAAGGAAATATGATTGGAGAATTATAATACCTCCTGAACAGCCCTAGGCGAAAAAAAAAAAATCAATGTGTTTAGCTATTTTATCTAAAATATAATGAAGAGCAACCTGTTGATAAAGCAAGAAATCTGTTTAAAATGATTTCTTTCATACTTTTAGTTATCACGGGTTTTGTTCAATTTCAAATAGGACTTGGTAAGTGCTGTGTATTGTTTTACAAGATTTGCTCGTATCAAACATTATGCATTTATATGATATCGAATTTTTAACATAGGCGACGCAGATCCTTGTGCTGAAGGAAACTTCCTGTATATATTTAATGCTGGTGTTCGAGGAGGATCTTGTAAAAGAATCGAGGGCCAGGAAATATGTGATTTTTATATGGATAGTGGCTGGTATAAAGTTAAGCATGAAGATGATACAGTAGCCAGGAAAATGATTGAACAAGGAGTAAATGCAAAATTTTGTGGTACAACTTATCCTGTCTGGTTAAATGGTAAGGCATAATAGTTTGTGTACAAATTGCCTTTTGCTTTTTATATACTCAAGGTAAAATGACAACAAAATATTTTTTAAAAATAAATTTGAATTTCAGGAACTCATCCGAGCATTGGTGATGGAATAGTAAACAGAACAGCTTGTGTAACTGGGCGAAATAGTCTCTGTGATAAAGTTTACAAAATTCAAATCAAGGCATGTACAACAGGAGACTTCGTATATAATTTACAAAAAACAAGTGCTTGCCCTGAGGCATACTGTTTTGGTACGTGTAAAAATTAATAATATATAATTTAAAAGGTACATGTATAAAAAATATTCAAGATCGGGTTCATCTTATTAAAATTTCCATGTCTCCCTTGCTCTTAATTTGCATTTTTTTAAAGAATAGACTATGAATTTGATCTGCACATGTTATTCCTTTTTCAACAGGGCAAAATAAACCATGTGCAAGACCAAGTGAGTTTGAAAATATAGCACTTTAGCCAAAATCATATTTATAGAAATTCATTCCAGGAATCATCTGCTTAAATATATATGTAAATGCATGGAAGTTTAGTACACGTAGGTTTTATTAATACGTCATACTTTTTAATTATTCTACACAACAAAGACCCATGTCAAACTGGAAACAGCAGGATCCTACATGCTGGAAATGACCGTTCAACGACATGCAAGGACACTTCCATGAAATTCTGCGATGATTACATGAATGGATTTTGGTACAGGGTTCAAAGAAATGGAATTGACTTAAAAATGCCATCCAAATGTCCAAAGCAGTCTAGTTGTGGTACAAAATTCCCAATATGGCTGGATGGTGAGAAAAAAAAATCCTTGCCTTTAATCAACATTATCCTTTTCCTTCATCAAACACAAAAATAAATTAATGATTTAACATATATGGCAATTATATATGAAATTCAGTTTGAAAAGAAAGCATATACTGCGATGGATTCAGCATAATTTCTAAAAATCTTTTCTTTTATGGATATCAAATTCTTAGAAAATGGTATTGTAGGTAATGAGCCAACCGTTGATGATAAATATGTGACCCGGAGAGCATGTGTCAATCAGGGAAGTTCCTGCCAATGTACGAAGTCATACAACATAGAGATCAGGAACTGTAGTACATATCTTGTATATAACCTCACCTCAACATCAGAATGCCCAGAGCGGTATTGTTTTGGTATGTACCATCACCGTAAAATTGTTTTGATTATATTTGATTTTTTTATTGATTTATTTACAAACAAAATATCAGAAAAAGCATTGACTCTAGGTAGTTATATTTGAAAGACTTTTTTTCAAATTCATATTCTAACATACTTAGTACTTTTTCGACTATGAGAGTTTACGTCTTATTATTTGATGAGAATACATTCTCAAAACATAATTCAAAATTGTAACTATGAAAATGAAAATAACTATTTTTAAATATGATGCTTACATACTTAACATTAATTTTTGCTAATACATGTATGTTACATTCCAATTCTTAATATATAAATAAAGAATTAAAAAATAAACTCGACAAACCTAGGTAAAACTTTGATACCTCGTGTTTTTATGCCCCCATAAACGAAGTTTCGGGGGTATATAGTTTTTGTCGTGTCCGTCCGTCTGTCTAGCTGTCTGTCTCTTTGTCCGCAAAAAGTTTAACCTTGCCCATAACTTTTGGTTTAGTGGAGCTATGGCAATAATATTTCACATGTATATTCCGTGTGAGAAAACCTTTTTTTGGGTACCACCAAATTTGACCTCGATCTTTTGACCTTGACCTTGGAGTTTGACCCACTTTAACACAAAAATGTTGAACTTTTACTTTTGCCATATATATAGAACAGTAAATAACAGGGCATTTAAACTTGATACATATACTTCTGTGTATAAAGACCTCTCATTGGATACCAACAACTTTGACCTTTGGACTTTGACCTTGGACATGTCTGTACTTATGAAAAACTTTAACCTTGGCTATGAATTTTGAACGGTAAGTGCTAGGGATTTCATGCTTCACATATGTAATTCCTGTGAAAAGGCGCTTTATTTGGTTACATAAACCTTGACCGTTTGACCTTGACCTTGGAGTTTGACCGACCTTAAAACACAACTTTGAACATAATTTTTGAAGGGTTAGAACCAGGGCTTTCATACTTCACATATTTAATCTTTGTGACAAGACCTTTCATTTGATAACAAGGACTTTGACCCTTGGAATTTGACCTACTTTTTACAAACTTTAACATTGGCCACAACTTTTGAACGGTTAGGGCCAGCGCTTTCATTTTTCCCATATGTAATCTTTGAGACAAGGCCTTTCTTTAGAAACCAGCAACCTTGAACCTTTGACCTTGACCCCGGAGTTTGTCCTACCTTTTAAAATGTTAACATTGGTCATAACTCTTGATTAGGTGGTGCTAGCGTTTTATATTTAACATTTGTATTCCTTGTAAGCCTTACTTTAGGTACCAACATATTTGATCTGCATTTGAGAAAGGTTAACCTTCGCTATTTTGCCATATTGGGGCATCAGTGTTTCACAAACACACCTTGTTCACATAGGAATACATATACATGTATGTGTATAAAATGAAAGAAAATTAAACGAAGAAGAGTATTGCCAAAGTTACTCAGATGAGTGTTGTGCTCCATGGACCTCTTGAAAACAATTAACTAATCAAATGGTAGATAAAGGGCAGATGATACAAACAAACTTATGTCAAAAGTATATAAACAAGTTGCTGTCCTTTAAAAAAGGACTACAATACGTAGACCATATGCATGTTTTCTTTTAACCGAAATTCAATTAAAGAAAATTTGTTAAGTTTATTGGATATTAATGTAGGTTCGTTCGCATTTTCTACAGTGATCTCTCTACTTTGACCGATAGTACTTTCATAGCAAAATTGTTAAGTTTAATCTCCGATTGGCATATAGTTTTGTTATTTTCAAATCCAGGCTATTTTGATACATATATAACCTATAATGGCTGGTAATGAACATACACCTGAACTGAATTGAACTGAACCGATTTTTTTTTAAGTTTCAAAAATTCAGTTCAGGTCTGTAGTACGCAGAGCCCCCCCCCCCTCTCCCCCACATGGAATACCGTTGCTAAAGGCTAGTATCAAGCTGTATTTGAATCTATATATATCAATTGTTTTGCGAGTTTTGATGCACAAAATTAATGCCGATGAAGACTTGTTTTATCTTTTAAAAACATACAACTGGTATGTATGAAGCTTTTAATTCAAGTTGTAAAGTTATCTATAGATAACAACTTGAACGACTAATAGATAACTTAACAAATTGAATTAAAAACTTCATTCAACGACTAGTTCTAGGTTTTTAAAAGATTCAACGTTAGCTAAATGTTAGTTCTTCATACTTTTTAAAATGCTTGTGCCATAGATTCAATGTTTAATTCGTGTGTGTTTAAAAGTATGTGTACAAGATTAAAATTTGGATCCGCCAATGAACTCTCAATCGCATCATTTCGGGTCTTTCTGTCTAATGTCGGAAAGCTAGTCGAAAAGGCCCGAGAAGTTGCGATTGGTGAAGCGGAGTCAGCCGAAGATTGCCGATTTGAACTCTCTAGAATTCTCGCGCATGCGTAGGCTGGCGTATGCCCAGGGCATCCTGTTTAGCCTCGCTTATATATTTACTACGTGGACCTCAGGGTCCAAGCAATAACAACTTGAGTCACGTTTCAATGAGTAAAATAAACAAGTTTCACAACGGTATTTCCATTTTTTCATTCAAAAAAAAAAAAATAGAATTTTAAGTGACAAATTTTTGTATAGATTCATAAGAATGGTTGCAGAAAAGGAATATAGAGGAAGGTTTACCATTCATGTATATTTTTGAAATTCATTATTTTCAACATTTGCAACAACGAGGAACCTAAAATATATACAAATCCAGGCAATAATGTTTTGTTTGTTTCATTTTACTTCAACACCCCTACTAACGTGTTCGGAACTTTTTTTTATTTTTCGGTGTTCTGCAAATTATAAAACCCAAGAAGTTCAAAGTAGCTCCAGGCAGTAGTTCTGGCGAGAGTCAGCGAGACTACAGCGAGATAGGGTAAATTACTCGCGAAACTGTGGCTAGGAAGTGACTAGCACGTAGGGACAAGGTAAACTGAGAAGTTATGTTGTGTTTTAATTTTTACCACCCTATAATTTCTGTGGAAATGTACTTCAATTTCATTTGAATTCATTCAACTTTCATAAGATATATATTTATGCGCCCGGATCAATGGATCCAGAGCGTATATTGTTTTTGTCCTGTCTGTTAATCTGTTTGTCTGTATGTCTGACTGCTGTCAACTTCTCTATAACTTGTGAACCATGAGAGATAGAGACTTCATATTTCGAATGAATGCATACTCAACTAATAAAGTTCTTTCAAATGACACCAAGGTCAATGATCTTGTGACCTTGACCTATAAGTTAAAAATATCTTTTTCGACTTTTTGCCTTAAATTTTGAAGCATAGGAGATAGAGACTATATATTTGGTATGCTTACTGATTACTCAACTGATTAAATTCTTTCAAATGGCCCCAATTCAATGACCTTGTGACCTTGATTGTGACCTATATGTAAATTTCGATTTTTGCCATATTTTTTTAATCATAGGAGATAGAGACATTATATTTGGTATGTATACTCCACTATTTAAGTTCTTTCAAATGACATCAAGGTTAATGACCTTGTTACCTTGAGTGTGAGCTACCGGTATATAACAAAATAGCTTTTTTAAAACTTTGTTGTCGCGTATAGTGTTTCACTAACACATCTTGTTTCTATGATATTATTTTTCTGCATTAATGCATTTAAATTTCTTTTTGGACAAATATACATGTATTTGAAACCGGGACTATATTGTGTATCGGCAGCTCAGCAAATGAGGCACAAACATGGTTTATACGACAAATCAGATGAATGAGAGAATTACATTAAGGGCTTCTACGGGTACTACAGGTATTTCACACCTGAAAAAAAGATAATGGCGATGGGAAAGGCACAAAAAACATTTTACCATTCATTTAGAAAAACAATTTTAATTGTTTCTTCTATTATTTCCATGATATCAATGTCAAGTGAATTCCCTGGCCAAAAACACATGTGATCATGGGTATTGTCTGTTTAAATGTCAGAAGATGCTGTTCGGTTTCCTTACCCTTGAAGCTCTGGTGTTCTGAACTCGACGCAAACTACATTTTATTATATCTATTTTCTAGTTAACAACAAATTAAAAACGCCGGTGACTGCTTTCATGATTTCTAATCTTTGTATTTTTTCATATTAAAATTTGATATCGATCATAATTTGACCTGAACCACGTGTTCGAAGTAAAATTAAAAAAAAAACATGTATAGTTAGCGTAAACGTTGCTATTCATTGAACGATTGGTCAGTTGATGCGTGGTGAGATCTGCCGTGCACATTAATAACAATACCATATAAGGTATACAAAGGTTTGTTCGTGTAAATGATATTGTAAACACATTTTTTTCTACTATGGTATCGGGCTATTTTGGGGTAATTGCCTCCAGTGAGCTCCAATTTTTGCCATAAATTATCACAAAAGCAAAGATAAAGTATATTGATTTGACCCCCCTCCTTTATTTACAGAAACATGAAAGCCCTAATTCAGCAAGATCTGGGAACACATTTTTTTACAGGACATGTATTCAAAAGAAACAGACCATAGCATTTTCCATTTTATTGCCAATGCATAAAACCGGGTCTACCCTGTAACTTTTGAATGGGTCAACCTAAACCATGTGTCTTGAATTTGAATCACAATAACATAAGTAGGGGTGTAAAAGAGATTTAAAATTAAATGGTTTCAAGCAAAACTTTGGAAAGCAAAATTATCGGATCAAAAAAAATTTCATTTCATTTTATTTTCATTATTAGGTGATAGTGGAACCTGTCAAAAAGAAGAAAATAAAGGTACGATATATAAAAAAAATATAAATAAAAAATCACGAGATTTGACATTATAACTAAGGTACAGATTTTACCGTCATTTCTTTGCTTTAGATGCTCGTTCCGATTTTATGATATACGTGTATGGAAGTGTTGCAGCCGTTTCCATTCTGCTATTAGTCTCGGGAGGTGCAGGTTACTTTTGGTACAAAAAAGCTCTAAGGTTTGTTTTCTAAAGATAGACAGGTGTTCAAGAAAAGAACCACAGATACAAGTCAACAAATCAATATTGATAATTTGTACTTGTTTTTGTAGACTACGCAGGATAGAGAATGGAAAAAAAGAAATCTGTGAGGAAAAAAAGAAGCATTCAAAAAACAATGCATAACACTTGACTTAATTGTCATAAATATATTTCTACGATAATTAATCTACATAATTATAATGAAAATGTTATTCAGAGGATCTAATTGTGATGACAATACAGAACGTTATTGTTGTATATTGTTTGAGAAATTGTTTTTTTTTAGTATTTTTTGGATTATTTCCTTACTTCCTGACATTGAAATGAAAGTGACTAACCTTTGTTTATAGATTTGTATTTATACACAAAATTGATTTAAGAAAATAAATAAATCCTGTCGAGGAAATCGTGATGTGATTGCCAATTTCTGTATTTGACATTCATTGATGTTTAATTTAATTAAAACAGATTCTCTGACTAGTTATCAATGAACTAATTTATAACCTATAAACTTTTCAGTTCACCAATTTTTTTTATCCGTTAGTCTGTATGTCTAACTTAGATTGATCCACCTGTTTTAAAACATTTGGTATTTGAGTATTCTATTTGAGTATTCACCGTTTACGGTAGCTCAGTCGGTAGAGCGCTCGCTCCGTGATCGGAAGGTCGTGAGTTCGTATCTCGGCCGCGACTGACCTAGTCGTTAAAATGGGTAGCAACTGTTCCTTCGCCATGCGCTCGGCACTTTAAAGTGAAAGTTGCGGGTCCTTCGGATGAGACCTTAAAAACCGAGGCCACGGGTCAGCGGCAGGCGTTGGCACGATAAAGATCCCTCACTGCTCAATGGCCCTGAGTGCCGAGTAAAGGTCAAAATTTGAAGCCCTTCACCGGCATACGGTGACGTCTCCATATGAGTGAAATAATCTCGAGAGGGACGTTAAACAATATACAATCAATTAATCAATATTTGAGTATTCTAAAGACCTACATATCCTTTTTAAGTCTGATTGGGCACAAAATGGGCGTTCAGATTTTAGAACGCAGTTCGCAGTTCGCTATTCGCAATTCAAAAGTAAACTGCGTTCTAGAACGCAGTTCGCAATTCAAAATTTAAACAAAGGCTGTGTGGTCTAAAATTTTGGGGGTGGGTTACTAGGGGTCAGTTACCACTTCTGTGAAAAAATGGTGATGGTAACATCTCTAGTTTCCGAGATATGGCCCTCCAGTCTTTATCCCTACTATATAATACTATACAAATAAACATCGGGCTGGGGGACATCGAAGTCCCCTACCTTGGGCTCTGAAATTTTGTGGGAGGGGTACCAGGGATCAGTTACCACTTCTGTAAAAAAAATGGTGATGGTACCATCTCCAGTTTCCGAGATATGGCCCTCCAGTTTTTAAACCTACTATATAATACTATACAAATAAACATCGGGCTGGGGGACATCGAAGTCCCCTACCCCGGGGTCTGAAATTTTGGGGGTGGGGTACTAGGGGACAGTTACCACTTCTGTGAAAAAATGGTGATGGTACCTTCTCTAGTTTCCGAGATATGGCCTCCAGTTTTTAGCCCTACTATATAATAATATACGAATAAACACAGGGCTGGGGAACATCGAAGTCCCCTACCCCGGGGTCTGAAATATTGTGGTCGGGGTACTAGGGGTCAGATACCACTTCTTTGAAAAAAAGGTGATGGTACCATCTTCAGTTTCCGAGATAAGGCCTTCCAGTTTTTAGCCCTAGTATATAATACTATACGAATAAACATCGGGCTGGGGGACATCGAAGTCCCGTACCCCGGGGTCTGAAATTTTGGGGGTGGGGTAGTAGGCGTCAGTTACCACTTCTGTGAAAAAATAGTGATGGTACCGTTCTAGTTTCCGAGATATGGCCCTCCAGTTTTAACCCTCTTATATAATACTACATGTATATGAATAAACATCGGGCTGGGGGGACATCGAAGTCCCCTACCCCGGCTTCTGATATTTTGAGGGTTGGGTACAAGTTCCATATGACACACCTGAGTTATTTAAACCATGCTCTTCCTTACCCCTTCTTAAGCTTGTTGTTACCAAACCCCTACCACCAAAGGTAATGATTTAGACAATCTACCATAAGATTCTTGTATTTGAGTTTTAGTTTATCTGCCCCTGACGTTCTTGAGAAGAATTTAAAGGATTTTCACATATATTTCAATGCAAATTTTGATCCCCTATTCTGACCCTCGGTTAGAGTCTCCAGAACCCTATTCTTGTCTTTTCGTGATGATCCCCACTTGCAAGGGGACCTGGCCCTTTAATTTAATAATTTTAAGTCCCTTTAAACAAGGATGCTCTCTACCAAGTTTGGTTAAAATTGGTCCAGTGGTTCTTCAGAAGAAGTTGAATATGTGAAAAGTTTGCAGACGACGACGGACAACGGTTATCAGGAAAGCTCACATAATTTTTATGATTTTCCAAAGGAAATATATATGCTGAATGAAATACAAACAATTATAGCATAGTTTGCGGGGCAAAATTTGATAAAAAAAGGCACTTAAACTTGACAAATTTATGAAGGAATAAGAGACTTTTGTGTCATTAAGAGTTATCTCTCTTATCAGAGTATCAATGTACCTTAATGAGACTTTCACAGAATTTTTGTTATATATTGCCATTGTGGCCTCCTATTTTACTTTTTGATTGGACACATATTTTTGGTTTTCCATGGCAAAACATTGACAGTGCCATTTTTCTTTAGTATTAAAGAGTACCCATCTCTTATCCGCAACTCCTCCTATACCACGGAATGAAAAGAACTACGCACACTAACTCTTGATTCCTGCTTACATTTTAAAACCATTAAATTCAATATTGATGACATTTGGCCATAACATATTTGTTTAATACAAAGAACAATTCAATGATAATTGATCATTTATTTATCACCAGTGCTAAAAAGTAAATCATACTAGTTCCAGCTCTTCAAATTAAGGGGGTATGCGATATTTTTCACTGAAATTGGGTTAAAGAGCATCACCATATTCTGAAACAGTCTTGGATATGAATAAATGTATCTAAAATCTTTTCATATGTTTTATGTATACAAAAGGAAGCATATATTTTAGTAAAAATACAATGTTTCAGTTGTAAAGCACTTTGAAATTTGCTGAAAAAAATAAGTATTGTTCTTGTTTTTTGTCTATAAACATATGCCCCCCCCCCCCCCGGTAAAAAAAAAAAAGGCTTTGGTGTAAATTTGTGAAATCACGGCCCAAATTACCGGCCGTAAAAAGGAATTTTATTTCACGAGGGGGGGGGGGGTAGATGCTTTAAATTTTCCCTCTTTTCCGTGTGCTATATTGAAAAACACGAGTTTTACCCAAATGTTAAAGTTTTCTCTCATTGGTTTGCCAAATAAACAATGTTTTATGAAATATCAATACCAATATAAACGTAAAAAATAATTCAAATATCCAAACTTTTGAAAACTGACTTGGAGGTAGGCAGGAGAATAATACTAACGTTCGCAGTTCTTTAATAATACTTACACATATTCATTACATAATGCCATTGTGCTCCTCATATTTTACTTTTTGATCTGACACTTATTTCGGCTTTAGCTCAGTTCAAAGCTCAGTTTTAAAGTAACTATCCAAGATATTTTCATCAAACTTCGTATGCTGATAGATATTGAATAGAGCTATGCAACTGCATCAACATTTTTTTACCTTTCCTTTGACATTGACCTCACTTTTTTTATATTAGTGTTTAGCTCAGTTTTAAAGAAACTATTCAAGACGGTTTCATCAAACTTCACATGTTGATACATACTGATGAGAGCTATGCAATTGCATCAACGTTTAACTTAATTGACCTTAACCTCTTTTTGACCTTGATCACACTTTTCTTAAATTAGTGTTTAGCTCAGTTAAAAAAAAAACCATCCAAGATATTTTTTTCAAACTTCATGTACTGATACATAATGATGGGAAATTTTCAATTGCATTAACATTTTAGACCTTGACCTTTCCTTTGACCTTGACCTCACTTTTCTTAAAGGAATGTTTTGTTAGTTTTAAAGATACCATTCAAGGTGGTTTAATCAAACTTCACATGTTGGTACATACTGATGAGAGCTATGCATCTGCATCAAACTTTTTGACCTTGACCCTTCCTTGACCTTTACCACACTTTTCTTAAGTTTGAAAGAAACCATCCAAGATTTTTTATCAAACTTCATATACTGATACATACTAATGAAAGCTATTCAACTGCATCAACATTTTTGACCTTGACCTTACTTTTCCAAAATTACATGTAGTGTCAAACTTAATATGCTGATACATACTGATGTAAGCATTACAACTACATCAACATTTTGTCTTTGGCATTTCATTTGACCTAGAACTCATTTTTATCAAATTGTGTTTATGTTAATTTAAAAGAAACCATTCATAATGTTTTTTTCAACTTTATATGCTGATACATACGGATGAGAGCTTTTCTACTGTATCACAAGTTTTTGACCATGACCTTTCATTTGACCTTGACCTCACTTTTCTGAAACTTCATATGCTGATACATACTGATGTAAGTAATTCAACTGCATCACTTTTCAAGATATTCTGAACAAATTTCATACAAGTTTTCATGTTGATTTACTAATACCCCGATATACCTTCGGCGGGGCATTTATGTCCTATGGACATATATCTATTTTCTTCCTGTGACATTGAACGTGCACAATAAACCTTGAATAAAGATCAAGTCAAACCCTCATGTCATTAGCAATCTTTGTATAAAAGAAAAACCCACCAAATTTATCCATAAGTAAGATATGGACTAGATCACAAATTATGCACTTTTTCTTTTAGTTACATTGAACTTGCACAAATTAATTTGAATCAAGATCATGACTCACCGTCAAGTAATTAGCAATCTTTGTGTAAAGTGGTAGATTCAGGTTTTTTGCATAGAAAATATAATTATAATTAATTTCTTAAAGTTGAACTTGAACTTATAATGTACAAAATAATGTACTTAAGTCAAGTCATGGCACAACCTCAAGTCATAAGCAATCTTAGTGTGAAATGGAACTCACTAAGTGTATACATAAAATATGGGCCGGTGTAAAGACGAATAATGACCCCCATCGA